TGCGCATGTGCATTAGCATGTACATACATACATGCATGCATACATGCATACATACATACATACATACATGCATGCATGTATGTATGTATGTATGTATGTATGTATGTATGTATGTATGTTTCTTTGTGTGTGTACATACACATAATTATATATATATGTCTAGATCTATATGCCAAGTTGCCTTCGCCCTTCATGCGGAGCTCGCGGTTCCTAGGCTGTTGTGGGGCTGCGCATTTCGATCGATGGCCCCAAGCACACCAACCCTTCAGCCCCTCTTGGGCTTGTGGATCTTGGGCCTCGGAACAGAAGCAGGGCTTGGGCCGAAGGTCGGAGTTTGGGGGTCGGCCCGAGCTTCGTCGAACAACATGCAGTATAGTGAGTAGGGAGCGGGGTGCGGGGTTGGGGGGCTACTTAAGAATCATTGGTAAGTTGGTTATCAGTAGGGTCAGTAGGGTCGCAAGTAGCAGAAGCCCAAGTAGGGTCCGCTTCATCCCAACTATGACCGACTTGTCGAATCCCGATCTTTCGATTCAGAAACCTATTGCTGGAGAGCGGGCTCCGTTTCAAACTACTTGTTGGCCATCCTTTCGAACAGGGATCATCCTTTTGCAGCTGGAGCGGCTCCGTCCCACAAAACAAGGGGCCAGCCTGAACCCTGAAGCTCTAAAGCAAAACACGAAACCCTTATTAAAACTCCAAAACCCAGAGTTACCTGTGCCTCGAACAGCAGGGACGCACCCAAAACACATTTCAAGGCGATAAAACTTCACCCATCGAGATGCCCATGACAGCTTGCGGAGAAAACGATGCAAACCCCTGTCAAATCCTGAAACACTGCGAAACACACTACTCCCAAACTCTGAAACAAATTGAGTTAAGAGCACTCCTAGGCCCAAAGGGCCAAACCCTGAAAACCATGAAAGCTGCTAAGCTTTGCACAGGCATCGAAACCCGTGAACTCTCTTTGCACCCATGTGGAACCAGGACCCGCAAACCGACACGCCAGTACCCAGAAAACCTCAAGACGCATGCAAGTCCGGAAAGAGAAGCGCGAGCAAAACTATGAAAAGTCCCAGTGTCTTCTCATGTCTGCTCCAATCCTTCGCCTGGCGCCGGAAGCTTAGTGGGCTTGAGGCTTGTGACTTAGTTGAGGGCTTCACCCCGTTGCTAAGAAGGGATTGGGTTTGTCGGAGGAATGAACGGTGTGAACACTTGTTGAAGAATCCGAATGATTTAGCCAGTACTGGCTATAAGACTCTTAACAACATCGGAATAGCAATCATGGTTTGAACCATTCGTACAAGTATACTGGTGCTAGCAATATCTAGAATCTAGCAAATGATGACAATGCCTACTGCTCCTCTCAGAACAATCACGTGCTGGCAGTCGTCTAGGTCATTTGAGCCAGGCCTGATCAGGCCCGGCCAAAACCCATCACAACACAGCTGTTGAAAACCCCAGCTGGGACCGTCAACCTTACAAAATCACCCACCTCATCGTTAAACACACCAAAAAAGGAGGGGGCTCTCACCAAAAAAAGGGGGGGCTCTCCGCGCGCGCCGCGCTGCCTTGTGTCCGCTCTTCTCCAGCAGCGGGGCTCCGAGCCCGCCTCCCGTGGCCGGGGCGGCGGCCGGAGCGCCAGAACCGACCTGAAAGGCGCAAACGAAGGCCCGCGCTCTTTCCGTCCCTAAAGCCGCTGAGCCCCTGTAACACTTCCGGCAAACACCCTGCGCCTAGGGAAGTCTGGCGCGGAACTCCTGCTTACTTAGCCCGCACACCGCCCACACCCAGCTCCACACTCCACACCTCGGCTAAACCCCAGACCCGAGGCCCCCGAGTACCCAAAACCCTAGGGCCTTTCCAATGATGGAGTCCGGGGCGTACTTCCCGATGACGTCGGGAGGATGGATCCTGAACTTTTTCGAGGGTTATCAGGCTGCTTTGCAGCTTTCATGGCTTTTTTCCAGGATTTGCTCGCTGCAGCTCTTGAACTCTGGCGTCTGCTGTCTTTCAGCTGATGCTCTTCATATGCCAGCTGTTCATGACTCCAGATGCAATATTCGTGCGCAAAGTAGGCTCTACCCCCTCCGCTTCAACATGTCTGGTGATGTTCAGCTGTATTCGTGCAACTGTACTACACTGTATACCCTAGACCATCCGCCGAGTGTCATGTTGAACTCCTCCGTGGCATCCTTTCCGGCAAAGGTGAGGATAGCGAGCTCGCCACCGGGGTGCTCCGACAGGAAGCTGGTGACGTCAAGCACCTGAAGGCCCCCTTGAGCTTAATTCCTTTCGATAGTAGGAGATGTCTGCTGCAGCTCACACCTCTAAAGCTTGGATTCTGAAACATCCTGTGGCGGTGTTTGTAGGCCACAAATGAATCCTTATAGGTTCACGTGTTAACACGAGGTTTATTCATGCAGAGTCCTGTTTTTTGATGGCAAGGGGGCGAATATTCTATTTTGGGGATTGCTGCGGACGACCTTCGTTGCAGTGTGACCCTCTCGCAAGTTGAGCATAAACTCCGGCGCATCGCGTCCTACCGGACGGCCTCAAAAAAGTCGGTTGCCGGATCTAGGGATCCCGCCTGTCCGTCGACCACCACCCAGCAGTCCGTCTTGCTGTTGTGCTTGCCCACCTTCAGAGATGCTACAAGGTCTTGGGATGCGAAACTCTATTCGGGGGGAGGTTAAAGTTTCTTGATCTTCGGCTGCAGGTCTTTGAGCTTAGGGTTTAGGATTTCGGTGTTGGGGAAAAGGGATCTGCCAAAGAAGCTGAGCGAACGACCCACCCGATCACGACCAAAGACCCAACCGGCCAAACCCTAGGCACTGACGACCTCTTCCATCGTGATTCCACCGCCGCCACCGCCACCGCCGGCGGCAACAGCACCGCCACCGCCGCCACCACCAGCCCCGATCCTGTTCATCGGATTTTGAGATTGGGACTTTGAGATCGAGGAATGGAGGAGCAGGTCGCCCAGAATCTGTATGTATGCATGTATGTATGTATGTAGGTAGGTAGGTAGGTAGGTAGGTAGGTATGTATGTATGTAACAATCAATGTATGTAGGTATGTATGTATGTATGTATGTATGTAGGTACGTATGTACCTACTTGTGTGTATATATATATACATATATATATACATACATATAACATACACCTATATACACATAATATATGCAGATCCATGCACACATGTATATACATGCATACACATGCACACATATGTATCATATACACACCTACATACATATATATATATATGTGTATATATATATATGTGTGTGTGTATGTATGTATGTATGTATGTATGTATGTATGTATGCATGTATGTATACACATACATACGTTACACTTAAACAAACATGTGCATAACTACACATATGCCCATACACCTAAACGCATAAATACGTATATATATATATACACACATACATACATACATATTTACATACACGCACATATACATAAACACAGTACACATATACACATTTGTACATAGACATAAGAGAATATACATACTTGTATGCATATATACGTACATGCATATCTACATATACGCATATATGTGTGTGTGTATGTATGTATGTATGTATGTATGTATGTATGTGTGTGTATGTATATATATATATATTGTTCATATATATATATATATATTTATTTATTTATATTTATATTTATTTATGTATTTATTTATTTATATTTATATTTATTTATGTATTTATTTATTTATGTATTTATTTTTTTGTTT